AATATTAGAAAATAAATTGCTTGTGACTTCTTTATTGAAAAATATTATAAATATACATACATTAATATTTTAAATAGCCAATACTAAACTTTGTCAAACTGATATAGTTTTTGGAATAACTAGAAATTAAAAACATTTAATGGAGCCTCAGAATGAAGTAGTCAATGAGCAGAAAAATCTGGGAAATTATCCATTTCTTAACTACTGTTTCATTGCGAGTTTTCTTCTAGGAAATCCATTGAGTAATAGTTATGCACACAATGAAGTATAAATGTCATATCTACTTATTGGTACTCATTCATATAAGAAATAGTATTTTCATGTTATTGGTTTCAAATATTTAACATAAGTCGAGCAGACATATTATTGTAATTTAATTTTCACGAAACATTTGTTGATATTTTTATAGTTTACAGCTTACCTGTTTCTCTCTTGATTTTTCAAGGGCTTCTCAAAACAATATGATATGAATATAGCGTAATAAAATATTCGTAATTTTCGAATAACCTGCCTGTTTTTATATTTTCATTATGCAAAAGCATGCAAGTCGTTTACTTAAGTATTTAATGATTTAAACTTGGAAATATAGATAACACCGGCACACAAAAAAAAAGTTTTTTGTACATCAGACACGACCTACCTACCGGCATGTATTTTGACCCGCTGAATCCGAATTTCAAGTCAGTTTGGGCCGTCCACCCTTCAATATCGAGTAAATTTTAAAAATAGTAAAAATAAGATAATTAGTAATAAAAAAAATTTATGAATCGAAACCAAGCAGAATTCTTATGTATTTCGATCCGCTGAATACTGCGGAGGTCATTTGAGAACAAAAAAGTTTGATACCAACAAAAAACAGTTCAAAATCTGATAAAATCTTTCGACTCATTCAGTTCATACATCAGTTTTTAGAGATATTACAAGGGTGGATATTGAAGGGTGGACGGCCTAAACTGACTTGAAATTCGGATTCAGCGTGTCAAAATACATGCCGGTAGGTAGGTCGTGTCTGATGTACAAACAACTTTTTTTTTGTGTGCCGGTGTAATCTTTAACATCCTGTAACTCCGTAATTTTTCACTTCAGACGTTAAGCTTGTTGTAATCGACACAACCAAGGCATTTTAAAATCGACTTGGGTCTGATACCGTGTTAAGAATCACCCTGTATACTCGTAATGCATGCCTGAAGTTTTGCTTTTTTTATATCTACTATGAAAATACATTTTTCCGAAGATTTTCACAAAAATTGATTACCCTGTATATTTTGTAACCTATGAGTTTTAGACAATTGATAGATTTTATTAGTAAATTCTAAATAGTGTAGAATATGCCAACAACCTTATAGGATATATAAACATGCTTACACTTGATTTATATATATTGATCTAGAAGGCTATGATTAAATATTTTCCGAATAATTGAACATATTGTTGACTTTTATAATAAATGACGTTTGTATTACTTTAAGCGAGCATTAGACTGTTCTGTATTAGTGTTTTAAATAAATATTGTTGCAAATATGGCGTTTGCAAATAGGATTAACTGTTATGTATGCAATAGACACTTTCAACTTCGACTCACTATTCGTTTAGACGAGGACAATAATATAGATGTGCTTAACATTGCTAATTTTAGAAGACAAGCTGCCGGACATCCTGCAGTCGATAATCTACATGAAGTAAGATTATGTTTAAACTGTTATCACACAATTACACAGGAACTTAGAAATATTGAAAATTATCCAAATTGCCTAAGACTTAATGTTTTAATACCCCACTCAGTTCGTGGTTGTATAATTTGTAACGCATTAATTTACATGCTGGTTTGCGTTTTGTTTATAGATCATTCCTCTTCGTTAATATTCAGCAATTTTTGTCTAGTTTAAGAGCGGCTGCTAATGCTAATAATAATTTAAAAAATTGGGAAGACATAAATATTTTTAGTTTAGAAGAATTTAAATATTTAACTTCAATTTCTAAAGAGAATTTTCAAGAATTATATGAATTTTGTGAACCAATACAACAATATGGTAACTTAAGAAGCATTGCTCAAAAAGATTTACTTGCTTTCCTTGTTAAACTAAGACACATGGATTGTCAGATGAGTTCATAAAATTACTTTTTAATTATTCATCCCGACAAGTCACTAGTATAGTCATATCTAATGTCCGTATGTCCCTGCTTCAAAGATTTGTACCTAGTAATATTGGATTTAGATCAATAACCAGAGAAAACTATATCATAAATCATGTCCATGAATTCGTAAACGCGCTTTAGAAAATATTCCAAAGGCTATATTTTATTTCGATGGTACATATAACTCAATTGAAAAAAGTACTAATTTTAGAATATTACGTCAGTCCTATTGCTATTTTAAGAAGGAACATTTAGTTGAGCCAGAAATTACAGTAGCTCCTGACGGATATATTTTATCAATCAATGGTCCCTATTTTTCTGATGCATCTAATAATGATGCAGCAATCTTACGGCAACAATTAGTTAATGATAATAATGAATTTAGAAACTGGGTTACAGAAAGAGATATAGTAATAGTAGATAGAGGCTACAGAGATATTATTCCTAGGTTAGAAGAACTTGGGTTAATTACTTATATGCCACCTTTGCTTCATCAAAACCAACGGCAATTATCAACAAGTGAAGCTAATAATAAAGCTAATAAAACTCGTTGGGTTGTAGAAGCCAGAAATAGACATTTTAAATCCATTTTTAAATTTTTTAAAGGCCGCATATCCACGCATCATGCAGTTAATTTGAGTGGTTTTTATCAGACTGCAGGTGTGTTGTTAAATAAGTTTCATCCTCTTATAAACCTACCAGGTACAATGGACATAGCAGTTGAAATTTTAAACAAACTAGATGATGTTAATATTATACAAGCACGCGTCGAAGTCCAAAATCTGACTACCAGAAATGGTCGGTGGCGAAGATTGAACCACATGCATATTCCTGAATTTCTTCGCGTAGAGATCAATTTCCTAAAAGACTTGGTAGGTTCTTACCATATTTATTTAAGTCCATCATATATTCAAGATAAACTGCAAAGAGAGGAAAATAATGTTTTAGAAATAGACGAGTTTAGAGAAGAGAATAATTTTTTTCGTTTTAGAATTTATTCTAGGTTCAGAAACGCAATTAAATATATGCTGTGGTTGGCATACGAAGAGGAACTTAATGAAAATATTGATCCAATTTTCTACTATTATTGTACATGTACATGCGGTTCGAGAACTTTAAGTACTTGCGCAAATGTTGCATCAGTGTTATGGTTTCTTGGTTATGCAAGGCACCAGAATAATATAAGATTTCCAACAACACGTTTACTAAATAACATCGATGATGCAGCAGACCGATTATTTCCAGAAAATATCGATCTCGGTCCCATAGTAGAAGAAAATTAATTGGTATTACCATCTCGTATTTGCACCTAATACTTAACGTTAACGTCTTGGTTCAGTTACGTCAGTCATTTGGTCGTTTATCTTTAGTTCAGGCTGTTCTTTTAATTTAATATTTGACTTTTGTTTTCTTATATACCTTACAAAGTATCTGAATTTATATCTTTAGTGTTTGTAATAAATTTAGTTGTCCTTTGTAATTGCTATTGTTATATTTTTCCAAGTTATGAGAACATTAATAACAATGACAAAAAAGAGAAAAGAGAATTGGGTGTTGTGAAAATTCTACGTACATACGTGCTAAACTTGATGCCAAAAATGTAATGATCTCTTTATATAAATAAGTAAGATATATTGAGATAAATGGAGAAATGGGTGGGTGGTTGGGAGGAACTCGAAGTGCGGCCACCTCCTTGTGGTGAGTTCTGGGTTGATTTAACATTTAAAACCGGTTTTATTATCTTGTAGCTGCCCTAAACCCCTCGAGTTTTAAATCAAGCGAAGAGCTGTACAAAGCTGAATTTTTTTAGTTTTTTAATTTCTCACCCTTAAGGTCCCAGCTAAATATTTAATTTTTTCACTAATTTTTGTATAGGGTGTAAACTACATAAAACACAATTGTTTCGCACTAGCCTAATAATGTTTTTTTTGGTCATTTTTGACCTGCCCTATTATACAAGCAGTGCACTATTCCTACAGGGGCTAAACACTTTACGCGGAAAGGAGACAACTCGCAAGTTAAAATGCAATTATTTTCTATTTTTTGCCAACAATTTCAGCATTTTGTTGATTTTTTTCTTTTACATATTCAACCGCATTCACCCTGTAAGTACGATTTTTTTGTCTCTTTGAAAATAGTACAAGGGGTATATTCTTAATCTAAAACAGTATACCAAAATATTTAATATAAGATATTTCCCTTGAAAATATCTATTTTGTAAGTATATATTTATTGTTTAAAATTCATATATTTTGTACATATTCCACCATGGTACATATTAAGTTATATTTGGAAAACTAGTCATAGGATCTAATTTTACCAATAAGAATTTTGAACGAGTACATCGAGTACTATACGATATCAAATATTGAGAGACTTTGACGATGATATATATATTTTTTTTTTTTTCGGTATTTTAGCTATTTTTGTTCGGTGGGAATACCTACTTTGACCAAAAAAGATTTGCCGGATCATTATTCACCCTGTAAGGTACAATATTTAAATTATAGTAGTTAAGTATGTATTTTGACTACACAGAATGAGCAAAAAACTTCCAAAAATATTTAAGGGTGATTTATGGTGTCCATTTTAAAGAATTAGGGATTTCTAATTTCAACACCCTGTATCTCAAAATCTAGTCATAGGATACGATTGGGCCCATGGACACTTTTGATGGGGACATCAAGTTATTTAACATATCAAAAATTCAGATATTTTGACGGTACTCCCGTTTGCATAAGAAAAATGCGTGGTCCTTTATATTAATTTAATTGAGGTTGTCCAATTGCTGAGTGCAAAGGATACTTTCCCCGTTGTTGGCTGTGTAAATTATCCTGTGATATAACCCAAATAAAGGAAGAAGAAGAAGAACTAACCTTACTTTTACATTAAACGTCAAATCATTTAGAAATTGGCGACTAAAAATTAATTAAAATATATTTTATGAAGTTATGACATTGTAAAAAGACTTTTGGAATAAGATGATGCATATATATCAAATACAATGAGTCAGCTGTATTTATGTTGTACCGATAGATCTTTCAACTTGGGGATATTTATACTGAAAGACTGTAATATCGAAACTCCAGAAGAACCCATTGAAATAAATGTTTCCAAACGAGTAGACGTAGATAGTGTGTTTGTACATTATTTGATGAAAGAATTATTTCTTAGTGATTTGTACAGGACTCATTTCATTCAAAATTTTACAAAAAAACATAAAATTGAATTACTAAAACTTTATTTACTACCGACCAAGTACAATTTAATAGACTACAATTGGAATGAACGAGTGTATCAGTTAGTTAGAGAAAGGTGCGAATTAGACCATACTTTATCTTGGCTATCTACTTTAGGAGGTGCTTTCTCAGCTTTAGGTAAGTTTCACCTATCCAGATATTCACATTTAGAAAGGTGATACCTTTAATTTTCCTTATTATTTCAAACTATTTTTGTGTTACATTTCTAGGTGACTATTTTGCTACCTGTGCTGAAACAGCTGGAAAAATATCAGTACATCAACTAAAACTAGCACTTAGATTACGTGACCCGAGTATAGCAGCAAGATGCAGACTTTATTTAAGTTTGAGTTTAATACAAAAGAAGAAGTACAAACTTGCAAGGTGGATAATAGAACGTGAATATGAAAATGCCAAAAGTGCCACTGTGATTGATGCAAGACTTTTAAATATGTGTCGAGGTATTTGGTCAAAGTTGCAGTATGAATATGCTCTTTATAGAAAAGAATTGAAGCTTCCACAGTAGTTCTAGCTGATTAAATTTTTGTTTTTCTGTTGTTTTTTTAAATAAAATATTTTAATTAACTCTCACAGAATTTAAAGGGTAAATCTAGAAGGCTAGATATTGTAGGTTCAAGAAGTATGGAATACGTGAAGGATCTATCCTAGGACCTATCTTGTTTTTAATCTATAACACTATCTCTAAAATTATAACTTTTAACTGATCCGTATCTTTATGCAGATGATGAAATTTTTTATCTATCTAAAAGATTACTTTGAATAGTAAAAAAAGGTAAAAGTATCTTCCTAAAATGTATAAAACAAAATCATCCTCCACTCCGTAAAGAACCTTCCTTAGGAAGAAATGGTATTTGATAAAATTTCTGCCATGGGCCCAATTTTATTCTATGACTAGTTTTATTTTTATTTTATTTTATTTATTCAAATAGGTACACTACAGAATTATTATTCTAAATGGTCCACAGAGTTAAAAAAAATTAACAATAAATACATGCATAAATACACAAAAATATCACATTCACAAAATCACATACATAGAAATAGGTTTAAATATTAAAGCTCAAAAAAAAAAAAAAAACCAAAAAGTTATTTTGAAAGTTTCAAATTACTCTTTAGCACATACAACGTTTTGTTAAATAGGTCACAATCGGAGTAAAGCTTATTGTAAATGTGGCACATGTGGTCAATAAATGCTCTTTGTCCATAGTTGGTTCTATGTTTTCTGATGAAAAACAATGAGGTATGACGTGTATGTCGAGTAGGTGCCAAAAAGCTAATTAATTGTAAAAGGGCGCTACAGTCAATCTTAGCGTTTTTGATAGATAGGGCATTAAAGTTACTAATTGGCTATTTTTAAAAAGGCTGCACATCTTAGCAAAGTACCTACTTTGACTATACTGCCATCTTAGCAAGAAAGGGCCTATCTGAACATTTGTTGTTTGGAAATAATCCAGTTTTTAACTATGTTTCGCAGACATATTTGTTATCTTCTAAATCTCTTCTGTGAAACTCTTTAATGTTTTAGTACCTTTACGACGCAAATGGGACATACCGTTTTGCTATCAAGAAATACAAAATGTAGGCAAATGCAAAGAGATTGAAAAAACTACTAATTTTGCAGATAGGACCTTTCTTATTAGGACGGCAGTATACAGGCCTCTAATCCGTTTTTATTTAATAGAATTTTAAATCACTAAGATCTGAAAAGACTAAATTAAATGTAAGTACATACATCTCTTAGTAAAAAAATACAGGAACACAATTTTGGCTACTCCAGGGAGGACCATGGGGACCATGCCATCTTGAAATTAAAATTTTTACATTTTATGAGCCTTCTATTAAGAAAAAAATTATAGATGTCTTGAAATCGTTTTATAAAAATAATACTATCAACATTATTAGTACACTACTGTGTTTTTTAAGATTCTAGAACTACAAAAAAAAAACAAGACCACTACCTTACAAGAAAATAATTGTTATGACTTCATGGTAGATGTGTCTTCCATGAAAAAATGTGGTACTTGCTTGCACCAAAGCATCCTTTTTGAGCATACCAGTTTTTTAAGAATGGTCAAGTGGGTGGCACTTATGCCTTCTTTGTATCTATGTAGGTAGTAGGTAAGTAAACTTAAAATATTAAATAGACATTGAAAAGGTGCAGACATTATTCCTATTATATCTGTCTAAAATATTTAAAGGTTTTGCCCTTAATCTCATTAAACAGATATTACAATAGTTGTTTCCTTGATGTTTTTGGAAGGTTTTACCCTTGAATCTTATTAAATAGTTGTTGATGTAGGTACTTAACTGTTTTTGAATAGATAGACAAGTTTCACATTTATTCATAGGGCATTAAAGTTACAAATTGGCTATTTTTAAAAAGGCTGCACATCTTAGCAAAGTACCTACGTTGACTATACTGCCATCCTAGCAAGAAAGGGCCTATCTGAACATTTGTTATTTGGAAATAATCGAGTTTTTAACTATTTTTCGCAGACATTTATTTGTTATCTTCTAAATCTCTTTTGTGAAACTATTTAACGTTTTAGTACTTTTACGATGCAAATAGGACATTCCGTTTTGCTATCAAGAAAGACAAAATGTAGGCAAATGCAAAGAGATTGAAAAAACAACTAATTTTGCAGATAGGACCTTTCTTATTAGGACGGCAGTATACAGGCCTCTAATCCGTTTTTATTTAATAGAATTTTAAATCACTAAGATCTGAAAAGACTAAATTAAATGTAAGTACATACATCTCTTAGTAAAAAAATACAGGAACACAATTTTGGTTACTCCAGGGAGGACCATGGGGACCATGCCATCTTGAAATTAAAATTTTTACATTTTATGAGCCTTCTATTAAGAAAAAATTTATAGATGTCTTGAAATCGTTTTATAAAAAATAATACTATCAATATTATTAGTACACTACTGTGTTTTTTAAGATTCTAGAACTAAAAAAAAAAACAAGACCACTACCTTACAAGAAAATAATTGTTATGATTTCGTGGTAGATGTGCCTTCCATGAAAAATGTGGTACTTGCTTGCACCAAAGCATCCTTTTTGAGCATACCAGTTTTTTAAGAATGGTCAAGTGGGTGGCACTTATGCCTTCTTTGTATCTATGTAGGTAGTAGGTAAGTAAACTTAAAATATTAAATAGACATTGAAAAGGTGCAGACATTATTCCTATTATATCTGTCTAAAATATTTGAAGGTTTTGCCCTTAATCTCATTAAACAGATATTACAATAGTTGTTTCCTGGATGTTTTTGGAGGGTTTTACCCTTGAATCTTATTAAATAGGTGTTGATGTAGGTACTTATATAACTATCTTTGAATAGATAGACAAGTTCCACATTTTTTCGATTTTTAGTTTTTGACGGATTTTTACGTTTTGGGATCCCTTGAATCCATTATTTTGACTATTTTCGCGGTGATGTGTGTTTGTGTGTGTGTATACTTTCACGGGCCTTTTGGTCGTGATGGAGTCACTTTAAATAGTGACTCTATGTGCTACCTAACTTAACAATTTGTTAACGATAAATAAAAATATCCAAAAAGTCACAATAAATATAACAAAGAGTCTTACCAAGGGCTAAACATCTAAAGGCGACGAGGGCACTTCTTCATCCAGCCGATTTTTAATTTAATACATAATTTTCTTAAAATGGTCCGTATTCTAGAAGTTGACAAAATGTGCAAAATTTGAATTTTTAAGAAAATAGTTCAACCAAAAGTTGTTCTCTAAAATGGACCGTAATGGAAAAATTTGAGGAAAAGTATAAAATTTTAACTATTTAGTATTTTCGTTGGCAATGAATATATATAAAAAAATGTTTGGAATCAGCTGTGTTTGGAAAATATGTATATTTAGTTAATCCTCGACACGGAATAATATATCTGTCAGATCAGGAAATTTCAGGTGTGTGTTCCTATATTATTATTTACGGGGTACATAAAATCATCATTTAAAAATATATTTTTTTGAATATGTATTATTTCGGTATTTAGGTACTTTACAAAATGTTTCTTGAGTTATTTGCAATTGTTATGTAAATGGTAGTTATCTGTTTGAGTAAATTAACAACAAGGTATATAATAAATATTTTTCAAGACCTATAAATTTGACTATTAGGTATACCTACATTAAATTGTATAAATCGTTATGCATCATTGACTTCTTGGAAATTTTTGATGTCAAGGTGAAAGTTAATG